CGATGGACAGACCTTTTGCTTGCGATATGAAGGGCTGTTACTTACGGTTCAAACGCAAGGATCTCTTGTTGAGACATAAGTCTGTAATTCACTAATTGCTGCCAATTTGTATGTAAATAGTTTGATAGCCCATTCACTGGTATCCCTGTGCTCTCACTTATATTTGTCATACTTTACTATTACTAATACTTAATTTTTATTTAACATATGTTATGATTTACCAAAATATAGATTTAATTTCAATACAAATTGCAAGCATTTGATACTTTTGTGGTGCAGTTTGTCACACAAAGCCTTCAAATGAATAAAATAAATTATTACTAAATTAAAATTTTTGTTTACAAATTTGTAATTTGAAAATAAAGTGTTAATTAAATGCAATTTAAGTGTCAATTGAGTCCATTATCTAGTATTTGAGCAAAACTTGTGTCAAACTGTCAAACGAGTTGTGAAACAAAAACACAGTATTTATTGATTGCATGGAAACCAATGCATTGAATGTTGTGTTGAATGCGTTGTTAAGCAATAATTGCGCCCAAAATGCGAGACATGTGTTGTGATGCCATTGAGTGACCACTGATTGTCCACTGATTGCCGTTGGGATCCGATCGGTGATAATGTGCTCAATACTAGTGAACGACATATTAGATGACCTGAAGTGCGATAACTATAGACTTCTCAACGATTTAATGGTTTTGAGAGAAGAAAACCAGAGATTTCTCAATGATTTATGTCTTGAGAGACAATTGAACCACATTTTAGACAATTACAAGAACTACTCATTGGTTTTGATAAACCGATGCAAATGCGAGATAAGCCAACAGCTTGTGGACCAATTGAATCGATTCAACGATGAATACAATGGTCTTAAGAGCCGTCGAAACAGTGTCTTATTGTCGGGTAAGTAATGATTGCATCAAAAGGTTTTGAGTTGTCTTTCAAATGAAGTCTTACTTCAGGAAAGAATGGCAAATATGTTGACACTTACGATGAGGTGATACTCCCGAAGAACACCACCGATGACTTGACGGACACTCAGATATGCGATGACTGCCAACAAGTGTTTGAATCGGAAATGGATTTACAGATCCACACGAATAGTGTCCACAAGAATCTCCAATCATTTTCATGCCATGAATGCAATGAAGTGTATAATACCAGAGATCTGTTTGTCATTCATTTGACGCAAAGACACGAGTTTAGAAAAAGTGGTGATCAGATGGATGTGAAGCCAGACATGACTTCAAGTAATGATACCATTAGTACCGTAGAAGAGTTGACACAAAACTAATGAATTGTTTGTCATT